TATACCACTATGACATGGCACCATTGTACCATATGGTACCATTGTACCATATGGCACAATGGTACCATGTGGCTCAAAACCATAGAATTCGTCTTCAGCTCCACTTCCAACAGTCTTAGAACTGTAAGTTGTGAAGAGGAGAGTCAAAATTCACCCAGAGAGAGAGTGGGGAGTGAGAGCTTCCTTGCCGCCAGGCACCACGAACAAAGCCACTTTGCCGGCGTTCCCACAATGCCATGCAGGCGTCCAGATTTTTTCTATAGTGTGCACACTGACCACCCAGACCCATTCTCTCAGATGTAGGCCAACCAGCCTTCTCGCGCTAAATTTGGTGCCGCTAGAATTTTGGCGTAGATCTACGGTTTGGACCCTGAACGTAAAGCCGCAGATCTACGGTACGGGCCCTGAAAGGGTTAACAGACCATTTGCGAGCCAATGTTTAGACGAAATAACGGGACTATTTCCGAAATGGACGACTTTCAGGCTGGACGATTATTGAGGGACCACTGTACTCATAAATTCTAGCGGCTTCAAATCAAGCAGGAGAAAGCTGGTAGGCCCACATGTGAGAGAATGGGTCTGTGTGGTCAGTGTGCACCATATAAAAAAATCCTGGAGCATGCAGTACATAATGAGAAAAAAAAACTGACCTTTTTTTTTTTAATTAAAATGCCGAATTTGTGGTCTATTTTCGTGTAGTATTTATGGTTGTATTCTCATTTTCTTGGTCTCATTTGATAGAATGGAAAACATATTATAGAAATAGCAGTGATTTTGATTAATTTTACTATAAAAAGAACCTGGAACTACAGCTCAAAATAGGGGAAATGTTTGACTTTTGCCGATGTTCAAAAGTAAACAAATGATGCCATTTTCCAATAAATGTCCAAGTAGCCATTCTAATATGCAGTCATGAATGGGTTGATGTTATTTATACAATTATTACAGTATTGCAGTAGTCTGCATAATAGTAAGTCTTCTATTTCTTGTTTGAATAAAAATTCAAAATAGAAAGCAAGAGTAATATCAGAGGGGCCTGGAGACATGACTGATGAACAAAGAAAATGTTATTTTAGAGCCAGGAATGTCTGCATTGTTCATTCTGGACCTTATTTTGAAATTGTCATATTTTTTAATTTTCATGAAATTGGCCAAATTGCAAATTTCTGACCACGTTACTGGGTAGTTGAAATTGGTAAATGGGCAGCTTCTTGTACTCAATCTATAGAAAAAATAGAGTTCTAAAGAAATAGCTATGAGTTTGGTCGACTGGAACAATGGAATTAGCTGAAAATAAGGCTCAAAGTGGGCAAAATCACAGATTTGTAAATATCGCCGAGGTCGCTAACTTCGCAAGAGCGTAATTCCGTCAATTTTCCATCAAATTTTTTTTTTTTTTTGGTGTCATTACAATCGGGAAAAGATTCTCTATCATTTCATAAGAAAAATAATTTTTTTTTTTTGAAATTTTGCGACACCAGGAGACACCTCAGGATTGGGGGTTGTGACAGTCAAGGGGTTAAGATACTTTAGAACAAAAAATTAAGCAGAGATTTATTAGGCACCAAAGTTAAGTTTGTTGTCTAAAACATTTGGACTGATAAATATATTTACTCAAATATACACTGTTTTCATATACAATGTATATTTGAGTAAATATATTTATCAGTCCAAATGTTTAATCCTTTATCATTGTTACAACCTAAATGTACTAATGTTTTGATCATGTGTATAGACCTATCAATAAGTAGGTAATAAATTATGGTGCCTCTAGTTAACAGTAAGTCTTTTGCTTCCCTCATCGACTCACTCAGTTCCATAACTCTTTCCTGGAAGAAGCGAGGTGGTGGGATATGAAGCAGTGTAGTTCTAGAGTTGGCAGAGTGTGGTTCCCAGTAGCTCAAAAGTAGAAATAATGAATATCTGGACTCACTTTCAAAAATTTATAAAAAACTGTAAAAGTTATATGAAATGTCTTAGGGCCACTCTAGAAGGGCCATACTAGAAGCACATCCAAATCCTCCATTATTTCAATGATGGAACATAAAAATTTGTGTTAAAAACTTCTACTATACCATCTGCCACTGAAGTGCAAGCCTTGAGTGGCCACATATTGTAGTTTAAGTGTTAATAATTGCAGAGATCATCTTGCTCACAGCCTGGTCCCAGACCAGGCCTCTTCACTGGAAGGAAAATATTACACCAGTAGGAACTATTGTGAGAGACAACTTGCATCACAGCCAAGCAAATACAACTGATATAGTTTTCGTTAATAAAGACGTGCATATTTTTATATCCTTATTTAAGTGCTTAACCTCTAGGAGCATACAATGCCTTGGACAGTAGGTAATCACATTTGATCCAAGGAATGAGCACGCAGCTCTAATTCTTTGTATCAAGAGTCCTTCAACATCAAGGAACCCCTGTGCAGGAGGCATACACATAGCATGGGAGATTCTTCCCTTCACAGCATTTACACCACCACCAAACAATGATGAAGAAACAGCTCCTTTTAAGGGAGAGGCCTTTTCCTGCAGAACTGTTTATTAAATATCAATTTTTCTTACATAAAAAAAAAAAAAAAAAAAAAAAAAATAACTGAAGGAATATTTTGCTGGTTACAATTTGTTCCTATGAATTTTCAAAACTGAGCTATTAAGAAGTATGAATTTTACAAATACAATTTTGCATCCAAAATACAGTGGACCCCCGCATAACGATTACCTCCGAATGCGACCAATTATGTAAGTGTATTTATGTAAGTGCATTTGTACGTGTATGTTTGGGGGTCTGAAATGGACTAATCTACTTCACAATATTCCTTATGGGAACAAATTCGGTCAGTACTGGCACCTGAACATACTTCTGGAGTGAAAAAATATCGTTAACCGGGGGTCCACTGTATTATATATTTTTAAGTACTGTTTGCATTTCTACTTTTATTTTTTAATGTCATAAAAATCACTATTATGTAAATGAAGCATAAAAAATGAGCGGTGAAGAAAAATTATAGGCATCTTAAGACACAAAGTACATTATTTCTTACTGTGATTATCTCGGAAGTAATGTGCTTGGCTCTCTCTCTGTAGCTTCATTATTTATTGGAGAATCATAAAAATTTTCAGATATTGTACAAGGAGTCATTATTGTCTCATGTCATATTCACTTTCATCAAATTCACTCAAAATATTTCATTTTGGTTTTAATTGAAAAATTTGATTTTTTTCTAAATTTCTTATTTTAAAACATACATAATACATTTTTATATTTTTGACAATGTGAAAAATTCAAGCAACCCGTTTTTAATTATTTGTGCTCATCTGGCCTGGTGGTTAACGCTCTCGCTTCACACGGCGAGGGCCTGGGTTCGATTCCCAGCCAGAGTAGAAACATTGGGCGTGTTTCTTTCCACCTGTTGTCTATGTTCCCCATCAGTAAAATGGGTACCTGGGTGTTAGTGGACTGGTGTGGGTCGCATCCTGGGACACTGACCTAATTTGCCCGAGATGCTCAGCATAACAAGTGGCTTTCTATGTAGTAGTATGTCATTGTTGTCAGCTAGGACTGTATACCATGTACATGTACTTGTAGTAAATAAAGATTATTATTATTATAATTCTCCTGTGCACATAGTGCACTCAGCTCACACACTGAGGTCCGGAGTTCAAATCTCCAGTACGGATGGAAAACATTAGGGACATATTTCCATAAGACACCTGCTGTCCCTGTTCACCCACCAGTATAAAACGGGTACCTGGGTGTTAGTGGACTGGTGTGGGTCACATCCTGGGACAAAACTAACCCAATTTTCCTGAAATGCTCAGCATAGCAAGAGGCTTTCTATATAGAGTAGCATGTCACTGATGTCAGCTAGGCCTATATACCTTTTACATGTACTTGTAGAAATAAAGATAATATTATTATAAAAAACTATATAGACGCACTTTCAGTAAAAAAAAAAAAAATCAGGCTAATAAAGGAGTAAGGGCAGGAAGAGACCTCCCCCTAAAGTATTTTACAATTCACAACTCTCAAATTGAATTAGAAACTAGATAGCATTTGAGTCCATCCAACACCAACAGCACGCTGCAACTTGTTGGTCCAGGACCAATAACAAGCTGCAACTTGTTGGTCCAGGACCAATAACAAGCTGCAACTTGTTGGTCCAGGACCAATAACAAGCTGCAACTTGTTGGTCCAGGACCAATAACAAGCTGCAACTTGTTGGTCCAGGACCAATAACAAGCTGCAACTTGTTGGTCCAGGACCAATAACAAGCTGCAACTTGTTGGTCCAGGACCAATAACAAGCTGCAACTTGTTGGTCCAGGACCAATAACAAGCTGCAACTTGTTGGTCCAGGACCAATAACAAGCTGCAACTTGTTGGTCCAGGACCAATAACAAGCTGCAACTTGTTGGTCCAGGACCAATAACAAGCTGCAACTTGTTGGTCCAGGACCAATAACAAGCTGCAACTTGTTGGTCCAGGACCAATAAGCTGCAACTTGGTCCAGGACCAATAATAAGCTGCAACTTGTTGGTCCAGGACCAATAATAAGCTGCAACTTGTTGGTCCAGGACCAATAACAAGCTTTCAACTGTTGTCGGACCAATAAGCTGCACTTGGTCCAGGACCAATAATAGCTGTCAACTGTGGTCCAGACCATATAGCTGCAACTTGTGGTCCAGACAATAACAAGCATTAACTGACATGTCACATGCTCTATTCACCTCTAACTGCAGAGTAAGAGCGTTCCTGCTGGAGCACAATGGCTTCCTTCACCTGCATTCCTTCAGTAATATTCTTGAGTGGTTAATATAAATTTTCTTTCTGGAGATAAGTGGTGATTACAACCTCATCGTGAATATTCAATGATATTATTCTAGAACCATGACACCCAGTGGCAAGTTCAAACACTGTTGAAGATCATTTACAAGAAAGTTCCAAGTGTGATGAACAAGTGTTGTCCCCTCAACGAATGTTTGTTTTAATTTTACCACATTACCTACAGTTAGCTCCCTCATAAGATTACAACATAGAGTACTGCATTTTCCTGCATATAAGGCGCACGAGCATGTAAGCCACACAAGACGATGTTTCCAAGCAGTTGTAATGGAACATTAGTAGGCAACTGCTAAAGTGTAACCCCAGGCTGATTTTTCAAGGCTTATTGTGGGAAGAAAACTGTGCCTTATATGCCGGAAAATGTTTTAATTCTTCACAAGTGCAACTGAAAAAAATCATCAAAAACTGAACAGCACATATTACAAAAGGCCTTTCCATATGCAATTCAATTTTGGATCTCCTTAAATTGCATTTATGAAAAATTGCAGTATACAGAGGAACTTTAAGAGACCTGACTGTGTATCACACTAACTTCTATATGCATTTCTATCATGGTAATCCTCCTCTTAAGTGACCAGATTTAAGTGATCAATTGATACTCACTATTAAGAATAACAAACTATGCTCAGTAATAACCCACATGGAGGCAAACTAAAAAAAATTAATTGACCTAGATATTTCGACCCCCTGCTAGGGTCCTCTTCAGCAGATACACAAAAGAGGACCCCAGCAGGGGGTCGAAATATACAGATCTAATTTTCTGAGTTTGTCTCCATGTCAGTTATTATTGAATACTGAGAAGTGTTCATTACACTTAAAGTTATTCATAAACTGTATCTTGAAAAATGGCAATATACTATTAATTTATTAATACTGTAGTACTAATAATATTACTAAAGTAATAATGGATACATTAATACAATAATACCTAAAGGTAGTTGAACCCCCAAATTCCTATGTTAAGCTCCCAGGGTTATTCACAAATTCAGAGTTTATAAATGAAACCCAAGTGTGTAGTGAATGGTGAATAACTGATAAACTAATTATGTAAAACACACAACAGTGAGCCTTTTATTAGATGTAGTTTTGCCCTAAATGGAGCTTTAGGACAAGTAGAGCTTTAGTTAAACAGATCTTTAGAGAAAAATGCTATTTAATACAAGGTTTACTGTGCTATATAAGCTTTACATTCCTACAACTCAACTCTGCCCATATATATCTTTTATATTTGAGCTCTGTTCTCATTGCTTTACTCTGGTTAATACTGACATTCACAACAATGTCTAGAAATCAGAATCAAAAAGAAGTGTTGGATGTGGGAATTTCAATGAGCATGTTTTCAGCCAAATTCTACGGTAACTTTTGAATTAGGATTCATGTGCCAAGAAAATAAGAGAAGCCACTCAAAAACTGGTAAACAATCCCAGCTATTCACAGGAATCCCTTTAAAAAAAATTACTAGATACTTGATATACAGGAAATGGGAAGATCCTGAATTTGTGAGTTCAACTGTCAATGGTCAATGAGAGATTCGAGACACTTGGTTAAAAAAAAATGAAAATTCCTTGCTTATAAAAAATCATAAACCGAAAATATCTGTCATAAGAATGGTTAACTAAAATGCACATTCAATATCAAAATAAGTGCAGGTGTCCCTCCCTTCATTTGACATGCATTCCAGGTCTGTGGCAGCTCTGTTAAGCTCATTCAGGTTATCAGCACTTAATTCCACTTATAAGAACCTACAATACACTTTATGAACCATATCAAATGTGATAACTACAGAAATGGAACATCACATAATAACTAACATGAAGTGAGGGAAACCTGTAAGTGTAAGATACACATCCATTTGAATATCATTCAGTAATTAGTATTTAAACAAAGCTCAATACATTGTATTAAAGAATGAACCACTACAGTCCCAAAACATATCAACAGATTCATCAATAAATTTAACCCGTAAACGGTCCAAACGTATATATACGTTCACTACCGTACTGCCCCAACTTTTTTGAGAAAAAGACATTGTTGTTTTTTAATAGGAAAAAAGAGCATTGGTACCCAGGCATCCCCAATTATTTTAATATGGTGCACAGTGAGTGCTCACACCCATTCTCATATGTCTAGGCAACTCAGGCTTATCGTGGCAATGTTAAATATAGGACATATAAAACGTATATATACGTTTGGGGCACTAGCGGTAAAAACGTATATATACGTTTGGACCGTTTACGGGTTAACAAGTGCATTATTAACAGAAATCCTTTGATTTCTTTTTAAGAAAACTTACGAGGTTGCAGCAAATTAAGGCAAAAGAAATATTAATCCATTGCATAAATCAGAGCTCCATGGTCAAGGGCTGTGGCAGATTACTTGACAGAACTGATCCTGCGCATGAAAGCCAGCAGCTGGGCGGGGATCTCACGCAACACATCCTGTGATAGTTGTGCTTGGCTTAATTGATGGTTGTCTGACAAGAACTTTTTCAACTCTGAAAAAAGAGAAGAGATATAGCACATACAAATAAAAAAGTTAAAAAACATACATATAGGAGGTCCCAACTTATGAATGCTTAGGATTTCTGGTGTTTCAGTTTCTTATTTTTTTTTATTTACACATAAATGTGTAGGGAGAGTTATACTACCTCGGCTCATTCCCGAGCTTAGCCCTATTGAAGGTACAATACCATCCCCATCAGAACGTGACCCACAATGGTTGGCTAATACCCAGGTACCTGTTTACTGCTAGGTGAAGGGGACAGCAGGTATAAGGAAGCATACCCAGCATCTTCATCTGCCCAAGATTGTGAGGCGATGATAGTACCGATAAACACAGCCTTAACCTATTTTCCAATTAAAAAAAAAATCAAAAGGGATGATTATGTCACATGTTTGCAGCAGCTAACGGACATTCAAAAAAATTTTTTTTTCCAATACTGCATTATGTTTCATGAACCCCATTTGCATGCGTGAACCATTATAACTCAGGTGTTTATGCACTGTGAATCCTTCTTCTGGGAAAGTTAGTGCACAAGCATAATTGTGATAACATAATTATTACCCGAGTTTAAAATGTGTAAGAGTGGATAAAACTGTAGTCTACTTCTATATACCATGGGATTGGTATTATATGGAGATACGTATACAGCCTCTCCTCACTTAACGATGGAGTTCCATTCCTAAGTCTACGTCTGTAAACAAATTTGTCACGAAGTGAGCAGCATACTATAATGGTAGTGGGTTTGTGTCAACCATCTTTGATATTGTTTTAATGTCATCTTTGCACCATTTATAACATTTCTGGTATATTTATAAATGTTTATACAGTAGTGTACTGTATATTGTAATGAACAGAATACCATGGAGGAAATCAGCACTAATATTTAGGTATTGCATACTGGTCAGAGAGCCCATCTCAAGTCTGAGTTGTTGGTAAACGAGTATGTTGCTAAGTGAAGAGAGGCTGTATACATATTATGATAGTTACAACTATATGCCTGCCCATCGGCATATCTTAAGTGGTTTCTTCATGTTTTTATCATAATATCTAATGAAAATAGTGAGCAAGTTGGAAAACACAAGACTTTTATTTATAGAGGTAAACTACATTGTGTCCACAAAATGAAACTAAGAAAATATGGGAACACAAAGACAAGCTAGTATATATATTTATATACTGTAGTAGAGAGGATGGAAGTATGTCAGGGAAAGGTGGAGAAGTGGCTGGTGTATTTAAGTGTGGAAGGGATAGTAGATACACTGCAGTGCTCTCATACCCAAGAATGATAGAATAGGGCCCCACTTTAAGGCATTCCGCTAATACGGACATTTCAAATTATAACCAAATACAGTGGACCCCCGGTTAACGAACTTTTTTCATTCCAGTAGTATGTTCAGGTGCCAGTACTGACCGAATTTTTTCCCATAAGGAATATTGTGAAGTAGATTAGTCCATTTCAGACCCCCAAACATACACGTACAAACGCACTTACATAAATACACTTACATAATTGGTCGCATATGGAGGTGATCGTTAAGCGGGGGTCCACTGTATAGCCAAAACTCGCTATATGGCTCTCCCCACCTGACTTTCTAATACGGTCACCACGCCCCACCCAGTTTGTTTACATTCTCTGTGAGCTCAACATCTCTCCATTATGTCTGGAAACTCCAAGATTTCAAGCATTTTAAAGTTATTTCATATTTTATATATATATATATGTACGTACTCTGGTAACTGTACTTATGTGTACCTGTACCTAAGTAAGCTTACATATTGTGCTGACATGCAGGTACATATTAAAATCAGTAAGTGTGTCTTATGTCTCGAGATGCCATATTAATAATAATAATAATAATACAGGTCAGCCATCACTAATCCAGCATCATTGGGACCTACAGTGTGCCGGATTAGTGAGCTTGCCGGATTACAGAGTGGTTAGGTTAGAATACACCTAATTAACCTATCAACAGACTCTTTCTGCTACATCTTCCTCATTTTCATCACTGTTTTCTCCTCCACTGGCTTTCTGCTGTAGATTTACAACCATCTGCACAATTTCTGAGTCAGTATAATGATTTCAGTCAATACAGTGGACCCCCGACTTACGTTATTAATTCATTCCAGAAGGCTGTTCGGGTGCCATTACCGAATGAATTTGCTCCCAAAAGGAATACTGTAAATTAGATTAGTCCGTTTCAGACCCCCAAAAATACACTTACATAATTGTTCGAGTTGGGAGCTGATCGTAAGTCGGGAGTCCACTGTATAATGATGAAATTTGAAATTAGGTTAACTGAAATTAGTGCCAGATTACTGAAGGAACCGGATAACTGACTGCTGGATTAGTGATGGTCGACCTGTACTCAACAATAATCACTGAGGCACATTAAATGTTGTATATTACGTTAATGTACATATTTTCATAAACCCATCTATGATGTTTTTTCAAAATTATATAATAAACACACTATGTAATATATAAATATGATAAATACACCCCACAGTAGAATAAAATAACAAACATGAGACGTGGTAGCCAGGCGGCTTGTAGGAGTGACGGCAAGAATTACATTTTCTCTAGCCTAACACTATATTGTGTGTGCAATTAGTGTATATTTCAATTATATTATTGTTCAAGGCCCTTAACTATCTTTTGCTAACTAGTACCAACTACCTCATATTTTTTTTTTCTACTTTTTTTATTATTTTGCTACCTTAACTTGCATATTTTATCTTGTCAATTTAAATCTAGTTATACTCTAATTCTTGTAAACAACTTATATAACACCTTAGTGCATTTACAATTGAGAGTCTTGTGCCTTTTTATATCATTAGATTAAACTCAGTTGTACTATAGCTCATTCTAGCTCAATACATAGTCAATACCAAATTCATTATATTAGACCATAGTGTAATTACTAGTGAGTCTGGTGCTATTTTTAATTTGTATTTTTCTATTATTAGATTAAACCTTGTTGTACTATAGCTCATTCTAGCTCAATACATAGACTATACCAAAGTCATTATATTAGACCTTAGTGCAATTACAAGTGAGAGTCATGTGCTATTTTTAACCCTTTCAGGGTCCAAGGCCCAAATCTGGAGTCACGCACCAGTGTCCAAGAATTTTCAAAAAAAAATTTTGTTATTTTTTCTTATGAAATCGTAGAGAATCTTTTTGTGAAGGTAATAAAACAAAAAGTACGAAATTTGGTGGAAAATTGACGAAATTATGCTCTCGCGAATTTTGATGTGTCAGCGATATTTACGAATCGGCGATTTTGCCGACTTTGACTCCCATTTTAGGCCAATTACATTATTCCAATCAACCAAATTCTTAGCTATTTCACTAGTATTACTTCTATTCTATCGATTGAGCACAAGAAATCGCCAAGTCAACTGTTTCAACTACAAAACAAAGTGATCGGAAATTGTTAATTTGGCCAATTTAACACAAAGTTCAAAATATTCCAATTTCAAAATAGGGTCCAGAATGAACAATGTAGGCATTCCTGGCACTAAACTAACATTTCCTCTGTTCATTAGTTATGTTTTGAAGCTTTACAAATAAATTCCATTTTGATTTTTTATTCACATAATGAATTTTTATTCACACCAAAAAATAGAAGATTTACTGTTATGCAATACTGTAATAATTGTATAAATATCATCACCATATTTGTGAATGCATATTAGACCCACCAGCTGACGTGTATTAGACGTGTGAGGTCGTTTGTTTACTCTTGAATATCGGCAAAAATTTAACATTTCTGCTACTTTGAGCTCAGTTTCAAGCCATTTCCAGTGCTAAAACCAATCAAAATCATCTCTATTTCTGTAATATGTCTTCCATTCTATCAAATGAGACCAAGAAATCGCAAATACAACTATAAAAAACATACGAAAAAACACTGCAAAGTTGCTGTTTTAATCGAAAAATCATGATTTCATTTTTTTTCTCTCATTATACACAGTGTGCTGCAGGCTCTGTTTTATGTGGTGCACACATACCACATAGATGTATTCTCTCATATCTAGGCCCAAATGTACCACTCACAGTTTATCAGAGTGAGCTGAGCTCATGGCGTAGATCTACGGTTTGGACCCTGAACGTAAAGCCGTAGATCTACGGGACGGACCCTGAAAGGGTTAATTGGTATTTTTATATTATTAGTTTATACCTAGTTGTACTTTAGCTCATTCCAGCACAACACATAGACAACACCAACTCCATTATGTGTATTAGTGACTATACTCTACATGACCAAAATGCTATAGCTATACACTTGTCCAAACTTCCCACCACTACAGATATCAGTACTAAAACTCAACCCATAACTCAGGATATAACTAACCATAATTTAAACCTAGAAGATGATTGATCACGTCGACCCTGATCTAAACCTCCATAATCTGACACACAATCAGAACCTACTGGAAAGTAACTGCCTTTACTACACAGCATCACAAGCCAGCACTATCCTAAACAATGCTAAAAGTTTATCAGTACTTAACTACAACATTAGGTCCTTAAGCAAACACTATGATGACCTCCTGGCACTCCTTGAATCACTAAAGACACCCTTCTCCTGCATTGTTCTTACTGAGACCTGGCTTAAGCAGGACATAATAGATATCTACCCTCTACCAGGATACACAGCAATCCACAACTGCAGACCATACCAAGTTGGGGGTGGTATTGCAATCTATTACTCTAACCAATTATCTTGTATTAGCACCACTTGCATTAGTGATGAATATGGAGAATACATTTTTGCTAATTTTACTGTAAAAAACCTTAAGACGCCTATAACAATCGGTGCCATTTACCGGATACCCCACATAAACATCCCAAATTTCAGTGAGAAACTAAAGGCACTAATAACAAACAGACAAATGAATAAGCACCACCTTCTCTTAGCTGGAGACTTCAACATCAACCTTGGCTTACTAGATGATCAGCCTGTAACTGATTTCATCAACAATATG